TGACTATTCATTTAGAGAATGAGAGTTTCTAATAGGAGAATGACATTTTCCCTCAGAAAATTCCCACAAATTCATTCCTTCTCTCAGATCATTCGTGAGTACAGTCAAGACAATGCTGTTAGGTTCTGAATGTAGAGATGTCCAATTTGGCAATAAGGTTTCTAAGAAAAATGAAGCTTCTATCAGAGATGTAGCTCTCCAAACTAAAATGGGACTCGACTTTCTCTGGGCTAAAACGGTCATTTAGAATGTGAAGTTGTGAGAGAAATGTGGAGAAAATGGAGAAGTTGACAAAGTGATAGCAGCCTTCACCAAGCAGTGTGTTCTGGTTGTATGCATTTCTGGGTAATAGTCCAGTAAAACCAAAGCATAAAGAGGGGTATCTGGGAATATGTTTGACAGACTCCATCTGCAAAATGGAGGTAAGACAACAAGTATAGGAAGGCCAAGAGCTCATTAGTAAGAGGAATTTCCACACAAAGGCAACTCGATCTGTGTGAGAAGCAGCAGAAAGCAGGCATGGTTTTTGGGAAATGGCTGAGTCTGGGAAAACTCTTCTTTCCGGGATTAGATAAATAATGACCCCCCAAGACTCTTTATTCTGAATTGCTCTCTAGTTCTACTCAAATTCTGCATCTTCTCTCAGTTCAAATTCAAGAAAGAAGATACCACACCACCCACCCACACATCCCATTCCGGAAGAGTATACAAACTAGATAGAAAACTTCTCAAATCTACCTGGAAGTTGCATATTCAAAGGGTATGCTAATCAAAGTACCTATTCACATAGAATGCGTGAAAGGATTTAAGTAGGCTAAGTGGAATTTTGCCAGACCACCATTAACCAATGGAGACTAGGCTCAGAAGGCACTGCAAAGAATTTCCTGGACCGATCGTGCCTACCAAGCCTATCCCCAAACTGCTTATGGGATATCTTCTGCTCCAACTTGTTGGAGCCCCTGTTCCATTTTATTGGATTCTGTGTGTTCCTCCTCACTCCCGTTCTGCTGTGCAAAATCCAAATGCCCTACCTGGGTTCCTTTAACATCCCAAATCCTACTAGTTAGGAAGGGCCTGGACTTTCTAACTGCCCAATGCCTATTCATCACTGAGAGTCCCTGATGCTAGACTGAGGTGTAGATCCTTTTGTAAAGGTTCCCTGCTATCGTCAATTTCTCCTTAAGCCCTCGTCTTCCACAATGACTTCAGTGACAGTCTCCCAGAGAACTTCCCTGTTCACCGTCCCACTGAAAAGGGCAGAAAGTGATTTTGCTCTTGAAGACCTGCCAGCAGTTCGGCTCTGAGGGCTCAAATATCAAGGTGTAAAGTAGTAAGTCTTCTTTCTTGGGAGCATTTCAAGAAGGGACTGTCCTCAATTCTCCAAATAGTGATAAAGTACACAGCTGGCAAATCTGGTGACGACTCAACTGAAAATATATTATCAAGAAGGTAAGGCTAAATGTTTCCAGGAATATAACTTTTTAAAAAGAAAATGCTTTTGAAAAATAAATCAAACCAATACTTTTGGAAGACTTTCTGGAGCTCAGACACTGGGAGGAACTAAAAGTAATCAATAAGTTGTCCTCAATAATATTCAGGTCCAGGACTTTAGACCAGATCATCAAGGCAACCAGCCTTGAGAGGGGAGTTCCCCCAGAGTTCCATAGCCATGGGCTTATTTCCTGGGATTGTAAAGTAAGACTCAAGTAATAATCCCACACAATGGAGAGAAAACCTTTCTTTCCACTCATACCTCCTTATGAGGGGTTAGTGGCAGCTACTGAACCAGAAACTAGCTAAATTGCAACTAAATACAATCCCACACTGAAGCTACCCTAGTCCCCGAGAGGCAGGAAGCAGGTAAAACAATTTAATCTCACCTGAAGGGAGGCCTGGAGGCAGGAGAATCTTGAGCTGCAGGCTCATTTGCTGTTTTCTCCTTCTAAATCAATACATCACATTTTGTAGTTCAAAGGAAATTAAGTAGTTCCATTTCTGATTTACAGGCATGGTTAGTTGCACTTTGAAGGGTAGGTAGTATTTATACCGGGCTGAGTTTTTTTTTTTAATTTTTCTTTTGAAAACATAGCAATGGCATGTGTTTATATATTCATATATATACATAAGAATATATTCATATATGTAGTCTATATGTAGACTATATATAGTCTCTATATACAGTAACTATATATATTAGTTATATATATAAAGTAACTATATATAACTATATACACACACACACACACACACACACACACCCCTACCTTGTACACTTTTTTATTATGTAGCCCTGCTGAAACTGTGCCCCAGCACTGTGGCTCAGGTCATGCAGTCTCAGCTCTGTGCTGGGATCTGACGGGTCTGAAGAAAGGCCTTCAGGCAGAAAGAGTGTTCTTTCTCCCTTCCTGCCACAGTATCTGAAGCATCCACCATGAAAATGCTTCCATTGGGTTAGGAAAGGAACATAAAATTCATTGTGAGCAAGAAGAGAGTAATACACTTACTTGTGGTCAATTTAGCATAAATGCTTTAACAACTCAGCTAGTGTCTAATAATTTGAGGACAGAATGAGGAAGAGAGAAAGTTATGGCTCCAAGAGTGAAGCCAAAATGTTGATACTGAGCATGTGTTTAACGAAGGAGTCACCACATTTGTTGTGTGTGTGGACTCTGGAATCAGAATAAAAATGTTGGAAATCTGTCACCTCTACTGATCATAGTGTTTAATCTTTCTGAGCTCCACTTACCCCATCTGTAAAATAAGGGGTCCAGAAATTAATCCCCATGAGGAAAGATACCAATCAGCTACATAATCCATACAAATAATATTTTCAGTGAGTGGGAAAAATAGGATAAAACTTAAAACTCTTCTTGCATAATGTGGAAAGAGAGAAGAGTAGTATCAGAAAGGCACTGGCCTTTGCCACTTTCTACCTTTATGACCTTAGATCACATCCAGGACCAGCTATGCAATTGGCAAGGCCCAGCAAAAAATGGAAAGGTAGGGCCCCTTGTTCAAAACTTTATAAAGAATTTTATAAAGATAGTGACAGAAAAGCATTAAGCAGAGTTCATGGCCCTTCTAAGCAGGAGACTTCTGCAAAGGTATAGGTGACACACCTATGAAGATGGCCCTAACTAACCCTTTCCTCTAGGTCAAAGCCTGGTTTCCTCAGGATCTAGCTCAAAGATTGTCATTTGCAAGTGACAAAAGGAAAATGCATAGCATTTATCTGATACTTCTTGAGATTAACATCGGATATGTTAGCACGTGTTTAAAAGAAAAAAAACCTGTTATGATCATAAGAGTGTACACTTACTATAACCCATCTTACAGAGCAAGCAGAAACCAGCCTCTTTTGATTCATATAAGGGTGTACTAAGAGACATTTTTTCTCTTTCTCTCTCTTTTTTCAACAGAACTATTTGTTGGAGTGCCAGATTATTTAAGGGCCTTTGCATGTTTCAAGTCCTCTTCTTAAAGTACGAATACTCTCCATATTTATAATAGCAACAAAAACACCAATGTCAGCACAAAATACAAAAACAGAGGCACTTCTATGTCATAATGATACATCAGAGTTCTGCTCACCTCTTTTGTAGAAAAAGAAGCTCAGACTTATACACATCCACTTTCTTAAGGAAATAATCGTTCAATGAAAGTTACCCTGGGAGGACTGCTGTCTCCAGCTCCCAAGCACTGCTCATCTGCCAAGGCGGGGACCCTATGACTGTTATGGAAATTGCTCTTAAATGCATAAAATACAGAAAATAATTTTTGGAAAATCCCTTATTATTCATTAAAGCATTTTAGGGCCTCATTAATCCAGATGGATTAATCGGTTGTTGATTTGCCAGGTGGTTGAGTATCCATTGTCAGATGCTGATGGGGTGTGAGAAAATATAATTCTGATCCACCGAACAGTCACCTGAATGAGGCTATCAATTCATTAGGGAAGGCTGTATCTTCACCGGGAAGGCTGTATCTTCACCAGGAAAAGCTGTATCTTCACCCGGGAAGGCTGTATCTTCATCAGGGAAGGCTGTATCTTCACCAGGAAGGCTGTACCTTCCTCAGGGAAGACTGTATATTCACCAGGGAAGGCTGTATATTCACCAGGGAAGGCTGTATCTTCACCAGGGAAGGCTGTATCTTCATCAGGGAAGGCTGTATCTTCTGGGGATAAATTAAGCTGGGTGCCCAGTCTCTTCTTTAATCTTCAAAACTTCTCTGTATCACAAAACATTCTTCATTCTTTGGGTTTTTTTTTTTTTCCCAACCTATGTTCTGAAGCGATGTTAGATGTCATTTTCAAAAGCTAGTTGGTAACAGGTCAGTCACACATACGCACTTAGCACAGGAGCCCAACATTTAAAGACATGCATGTGCATGTGTGTGTCTGCGTACATGTCTGTGTCTACATGTGTCTATGTGTTTGTGTATGTGTCCATATGTGTATATTTGTGTGTGTCTGCATGTGTGTGCGTGAGTTTGGCTTCAACTTTGTTTCAAAGTTCTTAGCTAGAGCCTGTTCATATCTTCAGATACAAATACCTGCAGATACAAATGGCATTCAGGTCATCAAGGGGATTATTTAGCCAGGGCTTAAAAACTCAACTCTCTTTCTTTCCAAACTTTGACTGAATGAGAGTCACATAACAGCAGTGAGCACAGTGAGAAAAGTCCCTGGCTTAGAAGTTGGAAAATATGATTCAGAGTCCTGGTTCTATTTTAAGAGAGGAAGTGACCATCATTAGCAAACTGTCATTTCATCTCCCTGACAGTTTGAATTCATTTCATTTTCTCTCTCTTTAACAACAGAGCAACATTAATGTTTAACCTATGTGTCACACCAATAAGAGTCGGGGGTGTATTTCCACAAAGACAGACAGTCTCCAACCTTTTATGGAGATTTTGATCTAAAAGAGACAGAATGCTTCCAAGACTATAAAGGACACCCTTAGTCAAATCTTCCATGAAGAGGATCCCATTTTACTTACGGAACTGCTCTAGATGCTCATCACTGTTGGACTCAGGCATGGCCGTGATGGTCACCAAGGGACACGGATTCCCTCCAAGAGTCTGGCAGAGAACATCTTGCCGGAAGTAGACCTCTTTGAGGTTGACACTCTTTTCCAGGATGTCAAGATGAGTCTGGAGCAGAAATAAAGCAGGCATGTATATTATCAACATTTTTTATAACAACAGTAATAGAAAACAACAACGGCTTACATATAGTTTAAAAGTATTGTTGTTAATCTAATCTGTCCTTTATGTATTGGGCCTTGAGTAATTAAAAGGAGACTATTTCTACTGTCTAGGAGAAGCTCAGTGAGACTGAGCAGGAAGCATCCTACCTGCATGTTTTGGCATAATAGAAGATCTGTTTTCAAGTTGCCCTGAAAGCAAGAGGGAGGCGGGCAGGGGCATAAAGTCCTCTTCCTATCACTGTGGCATACAAGGAAATGATAGAAAATGGAAACTCAGAAGGGTCAGGGAGGGGGTGGAGGAGGATCATGAGAAATGTGGTAACGGGTACAATGTACGTTATTTGGGTGATGGATACCCTGAAAGTGCTGTCTTGACCAACTTTTCTCAATCTATGCATGTAATAAAACGTCACATGTAACCATAAATTTGTACAAATAAAAAAATAGCAATCAATGTAAAAAGAAAAGAGACAAATCTAAGCATGCTTTCTTTAAAATAAAAAAAAAAATGTGGTTATCATGAAAATAGAACACACCCAGAACACTGGAGAGAATGAGACAGAAAACTTCAACAGCACATAGTATCACAGGGCCAAGTAATAGGGAGAATTGTGAGCACATTGAAAAAATAATAGACGTGATTAATCCAGGTGGACTGCTAAGCTAAAAGAACAAGTAACAAATAGCAACAGATTTTCCTACCATACCTCCCCATTTCAATACTCATTTAAAAAACAAATACAAAAATGGAATAGCCATTGAAATTAGGACACCTGGTTAACAACCTTTTTTTTTTTTTTTTTTTTTTGAGACAGAGTCTCACTGTATTGCCCAGGCTGGAGTGCAGTGGTGTGATCTCGGACCATTGCAACCTCCACCTCCCAGGTTCAAGCGATTCTCCTGCCTCAGCTCCCGAGTAGCTGGGATTACAGGCACCCACTACCACACCCAGTTAATTTTTGTATTTTTAGTTGGGGGGGGGTTGCCGTGTTGGCCAGGCTGGTCTCAAACTCCTGACCTCAGGTGATTGCCCCGCTTGGCCTCCCAAAGTGCTGGGATTACAGGCATGAGCCACCACGTCCAGCCCCTGGTTAACAATCTTTAAGAATTCTGAAGAAATTCTCCCTAATCAAAACAGGGGCACCAGTCATAAAGAGGCTAAGAGATTTTCCCCCACCCGCACTGCATCCCCCGACAGTGGAGACTTCAGTAACCAGAGGGAAACACTGCCCCTGTGCAGCACAAGAATACCACTGCCCAAAAATTATCCTCCCAGCTTAAAATTTAGAAAGTTTTTTCCACAATCAAGTAGGTATTAAGAGGTCCAAGGAGAAACCACCCACCTTGTTTCTTGACAAATAACTAGCCTGATAGGTAAATGAAACAAAAAAACTTATGAATGTTTTAATAAAATGAATATGTAAAAATATTGACAAATATGTAAAATATATGGAAAGGGAAGTAGTGTCTTCAAAAGGTAGAGGAAGTATTTACATGTGGAAAGAATTTACTACAGATGGTAAGAATAGTGGCCCCCAAAGATGTTCATGTTTTCACCTTCAGAACCTTTGGTAGGATACCTTACATGGTGAAAGGGACTTTGCAGACATGCTTAGATTAAGGGTCCACTTGAAATGGGGACGTCATCCTGCACTATCCAGTTAGGGCCAATCTAATCACAACATGATTAAAAACAGAGACCCTTTCCTGGCTGCAGAGAACCATTGCTGGCCCCGTAAGACCTCAGTCTTCCCTTGCTGGCTTTGAAGATGGAGAAAGGCATCATCAGCCAAGGAATGCAGGTGGCCTCTAGAATCTAGAAAAGGAAAGGAAACGCATTCTGCCCGCAGAGCCTCCAGAAGAAATGCAACCCCAAAACCCTGGTCTTTGCCCAGTGAGATTCGTGTCAAACTTCTAACCTAAAAAGCTGTACAATTTTTTTTAAAAAAAAAGGACCTGTTCCTGTTGAAGCTACTACATTTTTAATAATTTGTTACTGAAGCAATAGACAACTATTACACAAGGGAACAAGAATGTCCTAAAGTAAGTACAAATCCCAACATCTGAATAGGTGTAGACTAAAACCTATTTGTACTCTACTGAAATAGTTGAATTGCAAGGAAAAAGAAAAAGAGACAAGAAAAGAAAAGATTACCAGATAATGCTATGGCCTTTCTCTAGCCTCGGGGACACCTGAAAATTTGACCTTGAGTCATATTCTCCTTAAAACTGAGAACCAAAATCATTTACCTACACATAGCTTACCGTCTACATTAACATGACTTTATTATTCCCCAACCTTCATCAGCATAACTTTACTGCTCTGGGAAGACAGAAATTACAAATTACAAATTATATTTTTCATTTCAGGAATATCCCATCAACTCTTCAATAGAAAGTATCAACCCATCTTTGAGCCAAGATTCTTCGAATCCCTCTTCTCACCTCTTTTCAAAATCCTTACCTTACAGTGTCCACCAATCTTAAACCATTACTTCATGATCCTTACCCAATCCTAATCAATCCCCCCTACATTAAATAAATATCTGCCTTTAAGCCAGGCTTTAAGGTATCAGTAAATATCCCCAACTTGCCCTCTGCCCTTTGAGACACTAGTAAGATTCTGTCCCATTCTTTCTCCTTTAGTAAATTTGTTTCCTACTACTGCTGGAATCACCAAAAATTTTGTAGGTTAAGACAACACAAATTTATTTTCTTATGGTTCTGAAGGCCAGTAGTCTAAAATGGGTCCCACTGGGCAAAATTCAAGGTGTCAGCCGGGCTGCATTCCTTTTGGAAGCTCTATACAATATGTCTTCCTGTGCCTTTTCCGGCTTCTAGAGGTCACCTGCATTCCTTCACTCATGGTACCTCCCTCCACCTTCAAAGCCAAAAATTGCATCACTGACTTCTGCTTCCATTAAGTCCCATCTTTTTCTCTGGCTCTGATTATTTTATCTCATTCTTTTACTGATAAGGACCCTTGTGATTACCCTGCACCCAATCCAATAATCAAGGATAATCTCCCCATCTCAAAGTCCCTAATCACATCTTCAAAGTACCCTTACCGTGTAAAGTAACATCTTCACAGGATTGGGATATGGAATTTTGGAGGTCCATTATTCTGCCTACCATGCTAACATGAGCAATAAACCCAACTGTGTCTTAGAAACAGGTTGTTCTTGTGATGTTCCAGAGAGCCAGGACTTGACACAATACTAAGTAAAGGAATTATAAGAAGCATGTTTATACAAGATTCAAGATAAATGAGAATCCAGCAGAGGCCCGTGTATCTCATCAAATCTTTGTACTTAATTGTTATGATTGTCCATCAAGGAATGAGGATCAAGTATTGATGAGATGCAACTGCATTGGAGATTGGGAAGGAGCCACATACCCTGGGAATACAAGATGACCAACTACACATACACAAGCACACACACACAACCTAGACAACTAGCTAATCATGAAATCTGAAGGAAGCCCAAGGCTGATAGTATTCCTAGTCTGAGATGGTTATGTTCCACTCAACCTAATCTCTCATGACCATATAATTCCATAGTGAGGAGTTGCTAGGACAAAGTAAGCTGTACCTGGGAGTCCAAAGACTCTCACTAAGCCCTTTCTATGTGTGCTGTTTTGTTGCCCTCTCTGTATTCTTTCTTATGGATAGTAAATTTAGTTCTGGATAAAGCCTAACCTGTGTGTTTGATTGCCAATCTTAACTCACTGCTCATTGTTGCATAGAATGACACTTGTACCCTACACTGAAGATTATTTTTAAACATGTATGTGTCTCTGTGTGGTGTCTCTGTGTGTGTGTGTGTGTTTGTGTGTGTGTTTGTGTGTGTGTATGAATAAATCCATTGTACATATATATATACAAAAAAATCATTCTTGGCTCATATTTCTTCTGCAACACTACATGCTAGAGGAAATAAGTACTGCTTAAAGCTTGAAAGTAGAAGGGATTATAATCTAATAAACCTATATCCAACCAAGTTTTTGCTCATCAGCAAATGTAGCATACATGCTCAAACGTATAGGAGCTCAGACAAAATATCACCTTATCTTTATTGAAAATAAGGACTTGGCTCAGGTGCAGTGGTTCACACCTGTAATCCCAGCACTCTGGGAGGCCGAGGCGGTGGATTGCTTGAGCTCAGGAGTTCAAGACCAGACTGAGTAACATGGTGAGACCCTATCTCTACTAAAAATACATAAAAATTGACAGGCATGGTGGTGCACACCTGTGGTCCCAGTTACTTGGGAAGCTGAGGTGGGAGGATCACTTGAGCCTGGGAGGTCAAGGCTGCAGTGAGCCCAGATCAAGTCACTGCACTCCATCCTGGGTGACAGAGCAAGACCCTGTCTTAAAAAAAGAAAAAAAAAGAAAGAAAAGAAGGACTTGAAGACACACTTCAGCTGCCCCCAAATCAAACAGAAAAGCAATATAAAAAGACTATAATAAAATCCAGTTAAACAAGCTTACATCTAAATGACTATATAAAAATATGGTTACTATATTAACATAAACACTAAAAAATCATTCTTTAGGATGACAATACACATTATACAATTTTGATGTCATCACCTAGCTCTAAAATGAACTTGAAAAGAGATGTACAAGGGAGGAAAATGGTGGAACAAAATGTTAATGTTTTCGACTTACATAGATATAGAAATATTATTTAATTCTTTTTTTTTTTTTTTTTTTTTTTGACGGAGTCTCGCTCTGTCGCCCAGGCTGGAGTGCAGTGGCCGGATCTCAGCTCACTGCAAGCTCCGCCTCCCGGGTTTACGCCATTCTCCTGCCTCAGCCTCCCGAGTAGCTGGGATTACAGGCGCCCGCCACCTCGCCCGGCTAGTTTTTTTTGTATTTTTTAGTAGAGACGGGGTTTCACCGTGTTAGCCAGGATGGTCTCGATCTCCTGACCTCGTGAT